CCTTGTTTATTTATGATTTTATAAGACCAATAAGCTGTTTCGGTTATTATATTATGCTTGGGTATTACTTTTTGCTGGGAGCCCAGGTTTTACGTTGTGTTTTCCCCTTTCCCATTTGTATCAGAAGCTAGTCACGCAATAATTGACAAATAATTTCACAAATGAATATTTACCCTGTATGAAGATTTTTGTTTATGTTGAATTGACAATATTACAATATAGGAGGCGCTCGGAAATGAGTGAGCAGTGTTCTCCCTTATTTTAAGCATGACAGGTAAAATAAATTTTCAAACCGGTAAAGTAATCCTTTCACGTGTTGAATTTTCAAGAATTCCAAGCAATTTTAAACGGCAATAAGAGTTAAGAGGTACTACAGGCGGTAAATGTTACCGGTTACCGCCTGAAAAGGAGAACACTGGGTGAGGATGCTTGTCGTACCTTTCAGGGGTCAGAATCAGTGATCCGGTACCTTTTACGGTGTCTCAAACTCTAGTGGACCACCAGAGACCTAGCTGGTACCTTTAACGGTGTCTTCCGCTCAATAAAATAACTGAAATAAACATTACTAGGTCGATTTTAATGATCTGACTTGAGCCTCTGAAGCACATCGATAAAGGAGTTTTATTGCTTATATTAGAACTTATTTTTGCGATTTTTCAATTTTTTTGTGTTTAAATTGGTACTTTTTTGGGGTAGATATCAGTTGTTGCCACTCCTACACGGATAAGACTCAGGTACCTTTCATAATTTTAAAGGGGTCGTTTTCGAAATTCCCGGCGCGCATCCTCGCCCTCATCCCGTGGGGTGCTAATACGTGCAGCACACCTGCAATTTAGCAAGGACAAATTTTGATGTGATTGTCGGTGAAGAGAAAAAAGCTTGTCAGCGTCTTGTGCCCTTTACCACTGTGTGCTTAATTACGCGAAGCCTACAAAGGGCTCAGACATTAGTATAGAAAACTCCGCCTCTGTATGGATTTTTGGTAGCCTATTGATCAATCCCCAATCGAGGCCTAAGTCTGACGGGACGCGTGATTTTGCACAGGGTGGCAAGTAGCCAGGTTATATGAATTTTCCAGACGTCTTGCGTACTATCTGTGGTACACGCTTCCCAATTCCCCAATAGGATTTTGGAATCGACTTAAGCCTACCTTTACCATGGCTGTAACCCAACACCGGTGCCGAGATTTGATCTATGAGTGGGGCAAATTGTAAAATCATCGATATCTTTTGGCGTCTCGAAGATGCCGGCTCGTGACAAAATAAGATCAACTTTAGTTTCTGGATCTCCGCAAGTAACTTGAAACGTCTTTTTTACAACTACGCAAAGGAACGACCTGAGATATGCAACGTCGGTCTTCTCGATAACTATACCCAAAAGTTCCACCAGCGAACGATTTAAATGAAAAGCGAGTCTCCTTGTTAGCATTAAGATGAGACGCTTATACAACAGATCAATTAGCTAAAAAAGTATGTAGCTTGTCAATCGAATCGACTTTTGTAAACATTCTCTGACTTCCGCCGGCAAAGGAATCCTTGATAGTAATTCTTGGAAGATTTTTATAGATATGCAAAGAGGGAAAAAAACCCATCTCTTGGTAATTCGAAGGTTAATTAATCTTTGAATTTACATGTGTCTCCCTCGTCATGAGAAGGTTTATAAACTGCAAATTAAATCTGGCTAAAATGTGGTAGAGCATAACTTGATCATCGAAACAGCTAATAAAATCATAAATAAACAAGGTAAGAGTGATTTATGTAACGATAGGATTTTTAGTTATCGAGTTCTTTCATGCTTACGCTCAAAAAAATACAATATTCCACGTAGAAAGCTTAGATCAGCAAAGCGTAAACGCTACCAGTTCTCCTTTAGTCACCCGTAAGCAGTTGTTATTAGTGTTAAACTGTAACAGCCACCTGTCATGTCCTTTTGTGTAACTGTTATCCACCGGAACTCTTTAAAGTAATTAATGTTGTAAAAGGCGAAATTCCTGCTTAGCCAATAGTTTAGTAGATTACATGATCCTTTAGATTATTCATGACATTACGTTATCCATGTACGTTAGGTTTAAATAGGACTGTTCTGTAAAGCTTAGCGGTGAGAAAGTTAGGAAGAGAACGGGGTTGAACCAGCCTTGGCCAGGTCCGTTCTGGTCAAAGTTGTAGTAGAGCTTGCAGAATAAATCTACG